CTATGAACAACTACAGGAATCCAGAAGAAAGGACTACCGTAGAAAACACGGATGGAACGAATAAAAAACTCAATGCGCTCGAAAGTACTTAAAGAACAATGGAACAACCGAATTCAATGAAAAATGGACGTCGGAAGACGTTTTATACGGATTATATCATATTACGAGTATAGGTACATTGTTATTATATTATATTATATCTATTTATATAATACATTATATACACGATATTGAAGGAGGTTACAACATAGACAATCAACAAAATCTACATTGTCAACTACATAGTGAAGACCCAACAATAATAGAAGTGTCAAATGCCGTCTTAAAACATAAAGTAAATAAAGCCACAGGAATCGATTAAATCTGCTGGAAATGTATGAAAAGGTGATGATCAACTTTTTGCAGTAATCCATAAACTAATAGTACTTATATGGCAGAATGAATTGGTACCAGAAGAGTGGCTAAATGAAATAATATGCGTTGCATAAAGGGCTATCAGCTGGATTGTAAGAACTATAGAGGCATTACTCTGTTAGCATCTGCGTATAAAATCTTCGGCAATGTATTGTTTGAAAGACAAACATTTTACAAAGGATATTGTTGATTTACTGCTGCATAATCAACTATACATCAAATTCAAACACATGGGCAGATTCTAGAAAAGTCACTAGAATATAACATAGATACACGTTATGACAGCCTATGACAGTGTTAAGCAATGATAGACTTTGGTTGGGATCCCACCGAAGTTAGTTAAGTTGACCCAACTAACAATGTAAAACGTGAGTTCGTGCGTTAGAATTGAAGGAGAAAACTCCATGTGCTTTGACGTTAATGATGGTATAAGACAGGGGGAGGCGCTGGCTTGTCTCTTCTTTAATGTTGCCTTGGAAAAGGCAACCAGAAAATACAATATTATAATGAATGTAACTATTTTTAATAGAACCATAAGAGACATGGTGCAGTGTTTTACAAGGCTTGCGGACGCGGCAAGTGAATTAGGACTTGTGGTCCTAATTAGAAATGGTAAATGAGGAAAAACCAAATATAGGTTGGTTTTCCAACAGATAATTCAAATTAACAACCATACCTTTGAGCAAGTCAAAGAATTCACTTATCTTGGATCGCTAGTAAACGCAACAAACACGACAAGCAACGAAATAAAACGACGCATAGCAATAGAAAACAGAACTGTTCACGGTCTCCAGAAACATTTAAAAAATAAAAATATAAAACGTGCAGTAAAGCTCGATATATACCACTTTTTGATAAGACCGATTTTGATATATGGGGCTAAAACGCGGATCTTATCTCAAAATGATGAAAGACTTCTTGGTATTTTTGAGAGAAAAATTCTTAGAAAGATTTTTGAGGTCGTAAATGAAAATGGAGTATAGCGTCTCAGAGACTTAGATGGGCTGGACACATTACTAGGATGTCAGATCACGAATACATGAAGAGATTAACATTTTCAAAACCATTTTCAGCATTTTGAAGCTTTGTCAATATTCTAAAAGATAAAATTTTGTAATTTTATGTCAAGTATTTAGCTTTTTAATGAGTGGAAAAAATCGCGTTTCTTGCATTACATTAAATCATTAAAAAACGGCTCCGAACTTTAGACAGGAAACAGGTAGGTTTTGTTCTTATATGTCTACAATAACTAAAATAGTTGTCAGCTACCTGGATTATTGATTGTCACGAGAAAATCCTTATTACTCTGGACTAATATGACTGGACAAGCAAGTGACGAAATATATTATGTAAACTTTACTAACAAAAACGTTCAAAATAAATAGTCCAATAAATATAATTAATCAAATTCCATATTCAAATACTGCAAACTATTTGGGTATTACTCTGAGCTCATGTAAAGAAGAAAAGAAAATAATAATTCTGATTGAAATACAAAAAAATGTACTGACCGATTGACCAAAATTCTACTCTGTTTCTACATAATAAATTATAATTATATAAGTAAATATTGAACCAATAGTATTATTATAAAAACAGTATAAGCATTTAGAAGGAAAATGTCACAACTCAACAGAAAATATTTCTATTCATATAAAAATTTAATCAAATTATAGGTACTTACTGCTTATTTATATAAAATTTCGTCAATCGTCGTCGACTTTTTCGTCCGGAGCATAAACGTCTTCGCGAACTACCCATTTTAAAAACAACAAAACACACTGGTTTGTCAAAACTAGTCAAAAGTCGAAATAAGCCCTAATAATGTTATTCAACATTATTTATGACCCTCCAACTTTCTTACCTACTCGTCGGCGAGAGTCTACAAACTATCAACAAGGACAGCTTGTACTGACCGAGAGAGAGAGTACATTTAGCACAATTTAACATTTTTTAAATAGTTTATATGAAATAGCTGCTTTGTCTTACACTTTATGTTAAAAATAAAAACAGATTCGGAAAGTGGGTAAAATTCTGTAGTGCCCTATTTCAAAAAAAAATTTTTACGTTTATTTTAACCAAAAATATTTAAAAAAAAAATATTGTTTAAACAATTTATTAATTTACAATCAAATAGTGCACTAGAACTTTTTAAGACCTTTCATATAAAAAAAGAATCATCTCAATATCTGCCATAGTTTTTGCGTTATTTGATATAAACTTTTACATTGGAATTTAGTTATGCCCAGAATCGCGAGGAATGGCCTTAAGGTCGTAGCATATTCAGTTTGCCTACATTCCTGTCAAAAAAATCTACTTCTGGCACTGTATTCGTATTCGCATACGTTGCGAAATATGCTCTTGCTGTCCCTCTATTTCTGTGGTATCTCACCTGTGTCCATTGATTATTCTGTCTTCTTCGTTGTGATTTCCAATCTCCTCTGTTTCTATAAAACCTATTACGATATATCCTCGTAACGTGTCTTTCATATTCACTTATATCTCTATAATTTTAGTTTCTATATTCTTTTCTTCCTTCGAATTTATTATTATACTATTCATATATTGCATTTTTACCTTCTTTTCTCATGTCAAAATCGTATCTTTTCCTGTAATGTAACGCTCTTGCTCGTGTGCTATCTTCTGTCTCGTCGATCGATAAAAATTTGGATATTACTTCGTGCGTGGTTGTGAAGTTACATGCTTCCAATATGAATTTAGCTTTTTCTGTGTTGACGTTGCGTTTCATTAAGAGCCATACTTATTTCTTGGTCTGTGTCGCTATGTTCTTCCTTCTTTATAGGTTGTTGTTTATTTGTCACAGGTAAAGAAATTGGCTTAAAATCTTCTACATTTTGAGTAAATTCTTCATCCAAAATTTCCATAATATTATTATCGTTTAAAACTTTTCTATCTCCAGTGAGTCCTTGTATTTGCAATGATTCGGCCGTTTCAATGAAGGTAAAATATGTATAAATAGGTTATATGTAAATCTTCTTGTCTAATTTGTCCTTCTCCATGGTATATAAATTGTAGTAAGGCTCTTAGTGCTTCGTAAGTCACGTTTGTCAGAATTACTATCTGATGTTGACAGGGATTTAACTTTAAAAGTTCCTTAAAATATGGGCTACAGACCGAATTTTAACGATAATTCTAAATATCCTAATTTATTGTAGCTAAATAGTTAAATAAAGTCATATCCGATTTCTTCGTCTATATTATTTGAAGAATTTGTTATCCAAGCAAATTCATGTCGCAATCTAATATTTTCCGTCCTATGTCACGGTGTACCTTCACTGGCAAATATAAATATTTTTAAAAATATACCCTAAGTAAATAAAATTATATGGCACATTTGGTTCAATAAAAAATAGAAATTATTATGTAAACAGTTATTTAGTGCCAACTTCAAAATAAATTATATTCTGTACTTTTAAAAGCAATAAAAATTGTGTACTCAACATTCTGAACTTGACCTAGTTAAAGTGTTATATTCAACTAAAAAGTAATAATTTATATATGTTAAACTGTATAGTTTATATATAAGGGATAAAATAGATTTACTCACATACGGTTTTTGTTAATTCATTTTTGTCCATTTATCCATTTTTTCATTTATTGTTCATTGTCATGAGCTGTAATAAAGCTTGGTCCAAAGGTGCTTTCGTGGAGCTCCTGGCGGGTTTGGTCCGGAATTTGGCAGAAATTTTTTTAACTGCTGATACATTTTCCCATTTTCCATTTAAATTTCCAGTATGATTTTTCTCCCATTCTAGTCTTCTTTGGATTAAGAATCCTGGTTTCTGCCATTTCAGGATCGCCATAATGTAAATAGCGTGCTTATGGTAAATTGTGGTTATTAAATTAGATGACCATTTATTTGGAATACAACAGTACACATTTATATAACATTACTTATTCTAATTGTACTTAGTACTTAATTGGAGTTGCTGTGAGACTACCTTATAATTACCAATAGGTGATACATTAACTTGCCATCTTGACGTTAATTTAGTTCTGATCTTCCAAATAATAATTGTTGTCTCTTTTATGATAGTCCTTGGTATATCGGCAATCGTTTATTAGTGGGTCAAGTTTGTTTTATCAACAAACCTCGATTCGATTTATTAAAAACATATTTTATATGAACAAATGCGAAACTATGTTACACGGTACTTTTAACTTATTCTTTTTATGCATTGTAATATTTTAAGGATAATACCACATATACCTCACCACATACAAGAAAACATAAATAACTTTCTATAAAAGAAACGATATAAGAAATGATACAAGAAAATGCATAGTGTCATACGGCCTTTATGGTTGATTTGGTGGTGAAAAATTATTAGGGTGGAATAAATTAGTGAAAAGTTGGTAAAAAATATTACGTAGGTTAAATTGGATTCCGCTCATTTGTCCCCGCTAACTTAAGGGTACTTTCAAAACACATCAATCATTTGCGCGAAAAAAATGTTTTGTTTATTTAAAGTAAAATATTCATGCCATAACCAACTTTATAAAGTAACAAATATTTTTAGATTTTAAGATTCAATTGTAAGTGTAACCAAAAGCGTTTTATTTACCTGTACATTTTGGAACAAGCCGAGCATAGTAAAAACAAATGTAAGAGTAGATGCTGTTGTATCAGTGCCCTAAAATAACAGAAATTCAATTGAGAAAAATTAATAGTTTAAGATGTTTACGAAATATTAGATATTTCAGTGATTACTTAAATTTGACTATCTTAAGCAGATTGAAATAAAATATCATTATGTTTAATTTTAGTTTCCAATTTAATTTAAACTGTATATATCGTATATTATAAAGTACTACTTAAAAAAATACGTACTGCTATTAAAAATGTTTTGACTTCATCGATAATTTCTCGTTCAGAGAAATTACTATTGTTATAAATAAGATCTAAAAATGCAATACCATCGCATTCCCCTAAAAATAAAATATTTTTTACTTAGATTTAAAAAAAAATTTTAAAAAAATTACTGCGTTATTTTTGAACAAAAGCTGAAAAAATCAGTTAACTTTTAAGTTAACTTTTTTTTTTCTTTTAGTAATTATAAATTCTTGTGGTTTATAAAATAGCTTGTTACGCCACTGTCAAAATACATAAGTCTTTTTTTCTAGTTAATAGTTAACAGCTTTAGGTTAAAATTTCTTCTCTTTAAAATGAGGCTTTTGACAGTGACTCTTGTGTTGTCATTGTTAATGTTTATTTGTGCCCATAGATAAATTTACCTAGATTGGTAACGGAGATAGCCAAGGCCAACATGTCGATTTGGCGCCATTCGTGGTGCGCTGCTAGTCTCTTTCCTGCGCGGAGGGAGTGTGCTGTGGAAAATTCAAAGTTAAGTGTTGAGTTTAGACAAATACGGAGCCATATTTGTATTTGTTTTATCTTTTATAATTTATTTTATAATTTAAAATTTTTTATATCAGTGGTGCAAAAAGGTACAATTTTAGACGATTTTTTATTATGAACTCGAACACATTACATGGAATAACAATGTAGAGACGAAGAACTGAACAAAAAAGATGTGTTTCAGATTGCATGGATACTACTGGCAAACAATGTAGTTTTTCTTATATGGATATGTTTGATAAATGGGTGAATGTTGTTAAGAGCCCTAATTATAGAATGCTGCAACAGAAACTATTTATAACAATTTTCGTGTATGCGCTAGTCATTTTAAAGAGGACGATATAATTAATGTTGGACATACCGGTATTACGAGAACAGCCCTTCTGAGTTTGTTTTTACCAGCACCAGGTAAGAACTAATATGCCAATTCATGTATGTATGTGACATGTGACCTTTTACTTATAAAATTAGTTAATTATAAATTTAACCTAAAATTATATATTATAAAATCAGTCTTACTTGCTTACAATTTGAATTATTTTGTAGGTGGTGGTTCAACAACTATCTTAAAAATCATCGCCTTAGAGAGGGTTCGACATAAATTTCTACAGGTGTGCGCCTTTCAAAGTTGGATTAGATTAGCAGACCAATGAGGTCTTTGAGCTTGCCTGTTAAGTGCGAGGAGGGATCTGTGCTTTCTTGTGAGTGAGATTGGTCTTAGAGTACCATATTACCATGGTTTGTCTCATCTATGTACTTTTAATGTTCCATTTTGTAGAACAACCTAAATCTAAATGTATTTAATATGTCTCTCAATAAATATATAAATATTAGTAGAAAAGAGTTACTGGTAACATAGAGTTTGTAAACTTAACTTTTTAAAATACTTCATGTTTTTATTGTAACTAGGTAATACTTTACATATTTTTATTATTTTTAATGTTATTTTTCCATCTTTATCGTGCTGGATCTTAGAATCTTAGAGCTAACTGTTGGGTTTATAGGTTTAAATATGACTAAAAATATTATCATATAAATGTATATAAAGTTCTTTCTAGAACTAAATCATTTAATTTTTCTGTTTCCAACTTAGCAGAGTTCTGTCTTTCTGTGAGTAGAACGCCAGACAGTAAGAGTTCTCACTGACCGCTGGTACTGTGTGTTATTAGATTAGGATGTAAGTACTACAAAGAACTCAGAATGTCTGACGGCTTTCTGTTGCTTATTAGGCTTTAATTTGACATTAGAATTAAAAAAAAATATTTAATTACTGACAAGTTCTTGTCACAACATTTAGAACACTAAATTATACTACATTTTTCTGTCCCTATTTGTGAACAAAATATTGCAACGATCTTGGTTTATTTTTAGTTCCAGCTGATTTACAGCTAGATTGAAAATCTGAATTTTCCAATCTTGGTTCATAATTATCATCAGGTTTTTGAACAGGTAAATTTTCTGTCACATCTGGTATTGATTTAGTAGTGGAATTCTCTAATGTGTTATTTGGACTTTCATCTTCATCATTATCATGATTCATTAATATAACAATTTAATAGTAAACTTCGTATATAGTACAGAGCTCCTGGTAAAGCAGTTTTTCATTTAGTGATGTCTAAATATTTGGTTTTCAATGCTAGATTCACCAATTTCCATATAACTCATTGTATCTTTCAACTTAACCATTTCCTTCATGGTTATATGGTGTTGTTCTACTTGAAATATTCCTTTAGAGTGTAGATAATTAATAAATTATTGTGAAGTAAAGCTAGTTCTCCTTGTCAGATTTTATATATGCCAGCATTCTATATACAAAAAATAGTGATTTAATCTGTGATTGGTTTGAATTGCTTTCCTACCAGATAATGTCTGCATTTTTTTATTACTTCAATGCATTTGCATTTTTTCAATTGCATGTTTTCATTCAGAATCTGTGAGAGTATGTGTGAAAAAAGCAATTGGTTTTCCCCATTGATTGCTTCGCTTATGTAATTATAGACTAAATTTATTAAAAGCATGTACTTATCTTTGTCTTCTAGGGATTTATCTTTAGATTCATTGCTTTCTAAAAAAATCTTGAATGTTATATACCAATGTTTGAATTCTTTGCGAATTATGAGAATAAAATTGTAGTAAAATTCCTTTTGCACAATTAGGCTTTTATTCACATAAAACTTGACATACTAAGACAAAACAATTATTTAAATACTGACCAGTTCTTGCCACATTAAGAAAACTAAATTATAGTACACTTGACTTCTATTATTAATATTTCTTGTAACACATATAACATTTCTTGTAACATGTTTATAAATAAAGATTTTATTCTATATTTTATTCTTTAATTTTTTTAACCACTTTGGCATTTTAATGTAATGTAAAATAAATATAGTCTCAACATAACAAGAAAACCCAAAAAGTATACGAAAAATATTTATTATCGTATAAGATAAGGATTTTTCTTGTTATTTTAGGATTATATCGATTTTCCTTTACTTTAAAATGAGTTCACAATCCTAGGTAATATTACTAAACTTTTGAATTTCGCGCCATGCATATATAGTTAGGCGCCCGGTCACTAGGTGATGCGCCAATCATTGTTTTACTCGTCAACACGGAAGTTTCAATGCTAGGTGGTAGTGTGCTATGTTTGTGCCATACGAGACGTCATTTTAATATTAGTTAAAAGCATAGCACACTACCACTTAGCACTGAAACTCCCTTGTTAACGAGTAAAACAATGATTGGCGCATCACCTAGTGACCGGGAGCGTAATTATATATACATGGCGCTAAATTCAAAAGTTTAGTAATATTACCTAGGATTGTAAACTCATTTTAAAGTAAAGAAAAATCGATATAATCCTAAAATAACACGAAAAATCCTTATCCTATACGATAATAAATATTTTTCGTATATTTTTTGAGTTTTCTTGTTATGTTAAGACTATATTTATTTTCCATTACATTAAAATGCCAAAGTGGTTAAAAAATTAAAGAATAAAATACAGAATAAAATCTTTCTTTATAAAAATTTTACAAGAAATATTATATGTGTTACAAGAAATATTAATAATACAAGCCAAGTGTAGTATAATTTAGTTTTCTTTTTAATGTCAATAATAAATATTGACCAAGAACTGGTCAATATTTAAATAATTGTTTTGTCATTCTTATGTCAAGTTTTATGTGAATAAAAGCCTAATTCTGCAACAGGCATTTTACTACAATTTTATTCGCATAAATTTACAATGGAGAAGTACTTTAGACCAGATAAACCGGAGGCTGATCCGAGCTGTCAAACTTCCACCAAAGAATTCAAACATTGGTATATAACATTCAAGATTTTTTTGGAAAGCTATGAATCTAAAGATAAATCCCTAGAAGATTAAGATAAGTACATGCTTTTAATAAATTAAGTCTATGATTACATATGCGAAGCAATCAATAGGGAAAACCAATTACTTTTTTCACACATACTCTCGCAGATTCTGAATAAAAACGTACAATTGAATAAAAAGCAAATGTATTAAAGTATTAAAAAAAATGCAGACATTATTTGATAGGAAAGCAATTCAAACCAACCACAGATTAAATCACCTTGTTTTTAAAGAAATCCGGCATATATACAATCTGACAAGGAGAACTAGCTTTACTTCACAAGAATTTATTAATTATCTACACTCTAAAGAAATATGTTCAAGTAGAACAACATCATATAACTATGAAGAAAATGGTTAGGTCAAAAGATATGAGTTATATGGAAATGGGTGAATCTAGCATTGAAAACCAAATATTTAGACATCACTAAATGGAAAACTGCTTTACCAGGAGCTCTGCACTATATACGAAGTTTGCTGTTGAATTGAATTGTTATATTATTAAATCCCGATAATGATATAGATGAAAGTCCAAATAACACACTAGAGAATTCCACTACTAAATCAATATCAGATGCCAGACGTGACAGAAAATTCACCTGTTCAAGAACCTGATGATAATTATGAAATATTCTGATTTTCAATATAGCTGTAAATCAGCTGGAGCTAAAAATGAACCAAGATAGTTGCAATATTTTGTTCACAAATAGGGACGGGTTAATGTAGTATAATTTAGTGGTCTAAATGTTGTGACAACAACTTGTCAGTATTTAAATAAATTTTTTGGAAAAATCATTATAGAAATTAAAGAGAAATTAAAAAAAATGGAAGACATACATAACCTGTATCGTATAATCTGTTTGAGGATAATCGACAAGAACCGGAAGAAATCGACAGCGAAACGGGGCCAGAGATCATAATGGAGGAAATCGAACAAGCAATACGAAACGCAAAAAACGGATAAACTGTAGGTCCAGACGAAATACCTGCGGAACTACTAAAATGTCTCGACGATGAAACTCTACCTGTACTTCTAGACCTATTTAATGAAGTATATAAAACTGGAAAAATCCCACAGAAATGGTTGGTGTCCACCTTTGTAGCAATACCAAAAACAGTATATGCCAAAGATTATTCAGACTATAGGACAAAATCACTAATAAGCCATACCCTCAAAATAGTTCCAAAGGT